AGGATTCAAACCCAAACAATAGAACCAAATGTAAAGCAATCAAAGCAAACAAAGTAAGCATGTAAAGGTGATCTAAACCCTAAGGTTACTCCACTTTTAAAAAATTCCCCAGCAGAGTCGCCAGTTCTGTGATACGGTGGGAGAACTGACTTGAGGTTTTGCGTTTGTGTTCGCAAATGTTTCGGTTTAGCAAGAGTCGTCACCGACTTTTTATTTTATCCAAAGGAAAGGTCAAAAAGCACAGGAAAGACCTTTGAGATGTTTTCTTGGGTTCGGGAAGTAGATTATGAAAAGGGAAGGTGCAAGCACCCTTTTCATCCATGGTTATCCATGGGCTCTTAGTTACTTGTTTAGATCACTTGCTTTGCTTTTCCAATTGTTTGAAATGGTGCTTTGTGCGTGGTTTTGAAAATGTTTTGAAAAGAGGCCATCGTTGTGGCAGCCTTTGTAATGATTCTTGTTTGAATGTATACAAAGGTGTATTTGTCTTTTAAAAGATATTTCAATGTTTTAAAAGTTTGAAAGTTGGGAAATGTTTTGAAATTGTGTTGTGAGGTGTGTTTGAAAATAGCAAGGATGTTTTGCAAGCTTTGATCAAGTAACTAAGAGTTTTCTATCCTATTTTACTCAAAGATCTTTCCTACATATTTTTAACCCTTTTGACAGTATTGTTTTACCATTGCATTTGGTAAACAACCTTGTATTAGGATGTTAAACGGGACAGGCGCGGGTCATCGTATGGACCATGATAGCAATTGTGCTAAGTATCTTTAGCAAATTTTTGAGGGACTAGATCATTTTGTATAGGCAACCAAGATAGTGTCATCGAGGGACTGTGATCTTTTGTTTTGTTTTTGTTTTGCCAAAGCACTCAACATGCATAACATGGCCCTTTTAAAGGCAACAAATGGATGAAACCCTAGGGGTGCAAGTGTGCATTGTGTTGTCAATTTACATGCTTTTTGTCTTTGTATTAGTCAAGCTATTTGTTTGATTTTGAACTTTTGCATACAAACCCCAATCTCTATCATGGCATATTTGAAAGCATAAAATGCGTAAAGTAAATATACACTATTACAACATTTGATATGGGAAAGGGGATATAATTTTTGAATGGGGATTATTTGGCAAGAAATAAAAACCCTAATATTTACTATTACATCCAAATTGAATAATTGATACAAATAATAAATGAATAATATTTAAATAAACAAATTAAATAAATATGCAAAATATTATGAATATGCACAAAATGTTTTTGTTTATTTTTTTTATGTATGTAAAAAATATTTAATGTATATATAAAAAGAAATAAAAGATTATTATATTTTATTTATTAAGGGTAAAACCCTAATTTTCTTTTAAGAAAGTATGTATATATATTAATTATATAAAAAAAGAAATGAATGGAATATATACAAATGTCACAAAATGAAAATATATTAAAAAAATATTATTTTTAATAAGGGTGGAAACCCTAGTTTTCTTTTAAGAAAATAAATATATATTAAATATACTATTTATGTACAATAAAATAAAATAATGTATATACAAAAATAAAAAGTATATTAGAAAAAAATATTATTTTAGTATAAGTAATAAAAAATAAAAGTATAATATTTTTATGTATTATTTTTTAAGTTTTCATAAAATAAAATAAAAGCATATATTCACTAAATTATTTTTATGTTAGAAAAATAAAAATAAAATACAAAAATAAATGTGGAAATTTATAAAAATATTTTTGGTATTTTTTATGTTTGGAAAATAATAAAATAAAATCAGAAATGAAAAATAAATACAAAAATATAAAAACATAAAGAAATGGGGCAGGGGTGTAATTAGCAAAGCAGGGGGTGTCAATAGTGAGCCAGAACCAAGCCCAGCCCATGAACTTCATCTTCAACCTTTGTCAAGAAAAAACGCGCGCCTGACTTCAAACATGAACAACCGGCATACGTGCTCTAATGCAAAAACCCATAACATCAAATTTGTACCATTTTTCAAGACGAATTCAACCATATAAGAAACTTGATTTAACTCTCAAAGACCAGAGAGAATTTCTCTGGCCCTAAATCTTAACCTAATTTTTTCAGGAAGTTCATGGATCAAATTCTCTTAACACGATTAACTTAAATGAAAACTGAGCATATGTACAACTTCATGGCTATGAACACTATATTTTTTATTCACAAACCTAAGCCTAATGATTCCTAAATAGAGAGATAGGAAGTTGACAAAAAACCTGTTTCAGTTGACTTCGTGTATGGCAATGTGGAACTTTTTCAGTGAGGCCTGAGATGTTTGGGAGCTTGCTTGAACTTCCCTTGACCTTCCCCAATGCCTAGCTTGCCTTGAATGTGCTTGAACAAGCCTGTAGAACTCAACCTGCACAAGCTGAAATCAAAAATGGTAAACCTTGCAAATGGAGTTACATTCAGTGTTTAAGGGTTGAGATAGCTTGGATAGGTTATATGGAAGGTGTTTGAACCAGTTTGAGGCAAAACGCACGAGGGGTTTTTGCTAAGGAAGTCAAACTGCAGGGTGTAATACCCCAAATTTGTCCTACCCTTTTACTTCCTATCTGGCTTACGCATTTTTGCATTTTTTTCTCACATATATAATTTCCATTAGGTCATCTAACACATCATGCATCATTAATAAATAAATTGGCATAAGATCATGGATTTAGAGGAATAAGGGTTGTTGTATGCTTTAAGGCTCCCATCTTCGCACAAGCTTGTTTCGGTTGATTTCTCCATTAATAATTTGTTTGAAGCTAGGTTTTCATTTCATGGACCTTATCATCATCAAGCTACGAGGCTATTCTTTTCTTCTCAATGTCACGTTGCAAGGTTTTATGAGACGAAGCTAAAAATTAGGGTTTATACATTTTCATATTTGAGCTTGTCAGCATTCTACCTAAGGTTCATTCCATATCAAGGTATTCGCATGTCTCATCTTTCATATTCATCTGCAAAGAATCCCTCAGGGCATAGTCATTATCATCTATTGAGAAGGGGTCTAAGACGTCGTTGTTCTAGTGCTCATATAGTCGGGACATGGTACAATATGTTGATTATGATCAAAGTTTCATTATCTCAAATGCTTATTTGCTTGACACACAAATTTGGTTTAGATCGGAAAATTGAGTTGAATTAGGGATTCACTGAAGCTGTAGTTTGGTTAGAATTCATTCATTAATATTTGAAGTGGATTTGGAGAAAATCAAAGTTCTTAAATATTTGCGTGGCTTTTCTTGGAATTCAAACCACAAGTATGAAAAATCATGCATCAAATTCATCCAACCATCAAAATATTGTCCAAATAGCCTCTCTTGGATTCATTCAAGATTCATGTCTCTTTTGGTTACCTTGCAAATATTTTGGATTCATACCATTTATTTGAATTCATACAAAGGCCATTTCATTATGTGGAAATAAAGTCAACATACATTCTAATGTGTATTCAAATACATACAAGTCCGAATTCCATTACAATTATACATAACCTCTATACATTTTTTACCAAAACCTATCCTAATTTTCAATCATTCTTCATGTTTCAAACTTCAAGCTTCCAAAACTTCGTATTATGCGTCTTTGTTCCAACTTCATATCATCTTGGTGTTTTCCTTTTGCCTTTGCTTCCCAATAGCCCTGATATGAACCAAACCTACAAAAATATTGGATAAACTGTCATAAGCATGAACCACATACACTACACTTCCAATTGTCAAAACCAATTCCGTAACCCAAAAAAAATAAAGGCAGCCCTGCACATAAACAAAGTAACTTACAGCACCATAATCTATAACTAACTGCTAACCGATTTCTTCATTAACCAACCAAAACTAACAGATTCATAACTAACTTTTCCCTAACTTCTAACTGTAACCAACCTATACCCAATTCCCTAACTCATAACAGAACTAACTGTAACAGCCCCATAACTAACATTCAATAACAACCCAAAACAGTTACAGTATAACTAACATTCAGTAACCAACTGCATAACAAACTCATCCCTAACCAACTAACAGTCCAACAAACCCCTAACCAAATTTCCCAACAAACTCTGCAGAAAATATATAAATAGAGTACACAGCATATGCAAAAGGAGATGGACAGAATAGGGAGATATAGAGGATTCAACACAGAAAAAAAACAAAAAGATTATTACCTTTCATTCTCACTTCCTCTATTCACACTTCTTCAATATCTGCAGAAGAACCATCAAAAAACTCCTCTCAATTATTTATGCCCTCTCTCTCTGCAGAATCATACCAATCTTCATCTTCAACAATCCTGCAAAAAATCTTGTTTCAGTCTTCATTTGGTTCTTCTCCATTTCATCATCTCTGCAAATCCTCAAATGTTCATCATCAACACGCGATCTTCACTCTTCCAGAACATGTGAACCGTAGCTTCAATCAACCATATTCACACAACAACTTTACGCACGTCATCTTCCGCACTTCTGCTTCACAGAACAACAACAATATCGCACGCGTCGGTAAAAGAATCGAACGAGTAACAATACCGAAAGATACAAAATATCGCAGAAGAAAAGAATCTGAATTAGAATAGAAGAAGATTTACAAGTCGTGATTTGAAGCTGAAAGAAGAATCTTTCACCTGGACTTCGCGGCGAGTCTTCCTGTGTTTTCTTGCAAATTCATCACATTGAGAAGCCACCGGACAGAGAAAATGAGTGGGAGATTTGAGACGGAGGAGAGGATGACTTCGTGGCTGGGACGACGGTGGCGGATCTGAAAGGTTTAAGTTGAGTTACGGTGCCGCGCGAGAGAGGAAAGAAGAAGACCTTGTTTACTCTGAAAACCCAACCCATTCTCTCCCAAACTTTTGCTCTCACAAACCAAACTCAATTGTTCTTTCCTTATCGACGCTCTCGATCTTGCTCATATGTATTGTTCCATAACTCCACAGTTCTTCCTTCTGAAAGTGAATAAGGAAGCTTCAAATCGCTCCTCTCGCACCATGGCCATGGCTATGCAAAGTGGAATCGGGATCTCCAAGATCCTATTTATCGTCGGAGCTGGTTACACCGGTACCGTCCTCATCAAAAACGGAAAACTATCGAATATAATCGGTGAACTCCAGTCACTCGTGAAGGGATTGGAAAAGTATGGCGATCAGAATGATGAAGGCGGGGATGGAATCGGAAACCATTTCGCGACGGAGATGAAGACGGAGACAGACAAAGTATGGGACGGAGCATCGCGTCTGAGCGATAGGCCGAGCAGCGAACATACGGAGAAGATTAGCGCCATGGACATCCACGATGGCTAGTTCATGATGAAGGTGGATCCGGCATTTGTGTGCGGCGCCGTTCCTGTCTCGTGAGGGAGATGAAGAGACAAACTTTCGCTTTTAACCCTAAACCCTTTTTCAATTTTCCTATATTTTTTTTTAGTTTTAATTATTGCATTGTTTTATTATTTTTTAATTCAAATTAATGACAATTATAACTAATAATTAAAATATGCTGGAAAATGAGGAATTATTTAGACTGGGCCTCACTTTTTGTTTTAGGCCCGTGTTGTTGTTTTTTAGCCTGAAGAAATTGAACAAAAAACTCTTTTGGGCAAATTACTGCGCTACACCCTTGAATTTAGCTCATACCTCCTGACTCTTCTAATTTTTCTTTTTTATTATTTTAGTTTTCTTCTAGTTTAATTTTCTCTCTCAATTGATAATAAAATGATACAAAATAATAGAATATTTTAGATTTCTTTAGAATTTCTTTTTAGAATTTCGATTAGAATTTTTTCTATTTTATTTTTCATATTCGATAATCATTTTTATTGCCATTTTCTAGTCAAGATTTTTGTAGCATCGACATAACTCTTGCAATGTGGAATACTCGGGGTTAATTCTTCAATCATTTGCCCAAGGGAACTTTGATAGAATTTCCTTACCGCTTGCACAATTTTGAAGAGGCAACGGACCTTCTTCGTTCGGTATCGTCACAACTCTATTTTATTCTTTATTTCGGTACTTTATCGCAATTCAAACATGCTAACATTAAGTAGAATTCCCTCAAAATTCTAACTTTAGGTCTAACGACGCACGATAACATAGGTTTAGAAATAGGCTAATTCCCCTTTAACTTTTCTTTCCCTTTTGCATACGCACCTAAAACTAAAACTTATTTTCTTTCAAAATTCAAAACACTTTAAAACTACTGACGAGAATCATGCTTTTGCTTAGTGCGAGAAATGATAAGTGGGTCTCTTCTCGACCTTATCGTTCTTCATCTCAAGCATAGGTGTGGTTCAATTATCAAAGACCCATTTCATAGCTAAGTAGAAAAACGACTAATATCTCTCTCTTGAGGTCAATCAGTCATCATCTACAACAAAAATACAAAACAAACTCAAATCTTTTGTGCGCCCGAGCACTTTCTTAAAAAACCTTTTCAGGTAAGGACACGATTAATTTACTTCTGTGCCAACGCGTAAGTCTCCAAAGGTCAAGCTACAGCAGAAGGCGGAATTAACTTCGTCCACAAAAAACATCTACAAAATATAAACCAATTCAAATCTTTTGTGCGCTCGAGCACTTTTCTTTAAAACCCTTTTCAGGTAAGGACACGATTAATTTACTTCTGTGCCAACGCATAAGTCTCCAAAGGTCGAGCTGCGGCAGAAGGCAGAATTAACTTCGTCCATAAAAAACACAAACAAACAAAACATGTGAGCCGAACTACGGTAGCTCTGATTCCTCAAAAAGGATACGTAGGCATTTGGGTAGGGCCCAGGCGAGCACAATTTTATTTTCCCTACATTCTTTTCCCTTTTCGTTTGCATGCATTTTCCCTCCAGTAGTATAGTAAACAGTAAGCATAGATTGAACACACTCATAAGATAGACAACAAGAGTGGATACCGTAGAGTACTACGGGCGCGTGGGGTGCTAATACCTTCCCCTCGCGTAACAGACTCCCTTACCCGATCTCTCGGTCGCAAGACCGTGACTTCTCCCTTCTCAGGTTTTCTCGATGCTTACCTTTCCCTACATGTGGGATAAAAGACGTTCGATGGCGACTTCATTGTTTTGATGATTTTCAGCCGGTTGTTTCAGCTGGGCACTTCACTGGGGAATCAGGTCGACCAAATGCTGGTCCATCCCGGAGTCGCTCCTAGCTCTTGTTTTCTTTCCTTAGGGTGTTTATTTTTATGCTTTCAGTTTACTCATTTGTACATGTTTATCTGAGCATAAGTTTGCATTGCTTTTTATGGCTTTCCATATCTGTTATCTATTATGCTGAACTTTGTTCTCTATGTTGGGTGGGGATGCTACTATCGAGGTAAAAGGCCCAGTACCCAGGCCAGAGTGCACTAGGACACCGAGGAATAGAGTGGGGGCATGACGGCTATAGAACGTGGTCCGATTAGTGCAGTCATGTCATATACCACGTTCGGATGAGGTTCAACTGAATTACTATCGGCACCCACGTCTGTGGGCAAGCCCATAGCACTTTCAGGCGAACCCGTGATTTTCGAGTTACCGTTATCTTACCCTGACCTAGTTTTCACCCGTGAGTGGGGAGGGAATTTCTATCACAGGTACAGATGGTGACTATGTGCAGATGGTTACTCACATTCAAATGATGATTATGCTCAGACAATGACTACTGGTTCTAATGGCTATATTCTGGATTTCTGTTCTGACTTTATGCAGATGTTATATCTTGTTGGTGACCGTATGGTTCTCAGATTTATTTTCTGAGATCCTGACTTGTTTACCTGGAGGTTCATTCAATCCTTCAATCTTGGTATTCCCAGCATGTTCAGAAATTCTCAACAGTATCCAATGTTCCAGAAGCCTTGATCCCGGACAATGGGAGATCCACAGGGTACTTGGTTCTTATATATGCAGAAGTTATGTCGGACCTCTAATCTGATGATACTCACACGATCCAGAGCAGTGCAGCAACCTTATTCAGGAATGATGGAATCTTGATCCTCTTTGATCTCATGCCTTTGCATACATGACATGGCTAACCACATGCTTAACATACATGTTCGGTTATTTCCAAGGAATCACATTTGCAAGTCTTGTGCTAAACTCTTCCATCCCTTACTTGCGCAAAAACAAAATCAAAACACGAAAATTCCTTGGAAATGACAGAACATGACATTCATACACCCCATGCATATTCATGCATTCATGACAGGTACTCGAAGATTTGGGATTCTTATTCAGACTTGGGGTTTTCTTCAGAGGTTCCACCTGATTTCTCACCACACATGCTCAGAGGTCAGTTATGGAATAACTCCGAGTGGTACATGCAAGCTTTGGCTCGTAGTCAAAAATTTCTTCAAGCAGGAAGATAATGGATTAAAGAGTCAGATAAGCCAGTTCATGGAAACTCTGATAATGTTGTCTATTATTTCTTTAATACATGATATGCTTGGTGATGCATAATATACTGGGGCACCTGGCCAATCGATTGAAGAAGGTATGTCATCCAGAGACCAAGTCCAAGGCTGAATCAATTCAGAGACTGTTGTGTTCACATCAGATCTGAAAGGGAATTCTCTCGCACTCGAGCATCAATGCTATAGAAAGTCGTCAAAATCAGCAAGTCCATACGGAGTCAAGTCTCCTCAACAATGGCGATCATTGGTTTCTTTACTGCATTTTCATTTGCATTTTTGCTTGTTTGTTTAAACATTGCTTGTATATAGAAACTTGTCTATTTTTGAACGAAAATCTTAATGCAATAAGTATGCTTGTCTTGAAGTGTTCCTTTCATTTTTACTCATCCATTTGTTATCACTCTTTAAATGTTTTGCTTGCATATTGATGCCAGATTTCCTAGTCTTATGCTTAGGTAAAGATTGGAAGGAGGATGACAATAATCTGAAAACGCAAAATCTCTGGTTGGTATGCTTTTGAGTAGGACCCTGCTGAAGATGTACAGGCCTTGTTTCAATCCCCAAACACCGGAGATATAAGGGAGATAGACCCTCGTCAACCCCTCTGAGCCTTCGAAGTAGGAGTTTTCTTTCTATTCAGAAAAAACCCTCATTTCAACCCTGGGGTGGGTAGTGTTCAGCTAATCTGATCAAGCATTCAGAACTCATCAAGAGTGTGCATCCAAGGATACGACAATGGTTATCCATCAAAAGATTGAGAAAAGTCAAAACCACAATGGTTCACCCTCATCTATCAACAACGTGCATCAATTAACAATATCCCAATGGGTATCTCTCGCACATCAGGAGGTCAACAAATGACGATACTAAAGACTCGGGCAGTCACGATCACTTCCGACAAATCAAAGACAACACAAAGATCAACGACTTGTTCAAAATGAAAAATATAAATAAGAAAGAAACAAAAATCCCTGCTAAGTCGAAACTTGAAAATAAGTCGCTTAGGCAAAAATTGGGGCATCTCGCTGGACTTTCAAATCAAAATTCAAAAGAATTTGTCCAGGCAAAAATTAGGGAAAGCAAGAAAGAAATTGAAAAGCCTAAAAGGCAAGAAAAGGATTACCAATGAAAGTCCTCATCAAAGAACAAAGTCGTGTGATCAAACACCAAAAGCAAAAGGTGAAGTGACTGTCGTGTCCAAGAAACCACTGTGGTTCCTCAATCATCGCAAACTCTTCTAGAGAGATGAATACTTGTACCAGGTCAACTGAACGTAGGAATGGAGAACATCATGGAGAATGGGTGGGCACTAAATAATTTTGAGCCTTAAATCCTTTTTCTAAAACCGTGAACCAGGCCACGTTACAACCCATAAAAGTCCTAACTGAAGCATGGGTCAATTCGAAAGCGTGCTACAACGAGATAGCGTTTAACTGACTCCTTAGAGGTATGTTTGAATATCTATGTTGGCATACTATGCTTGCATTATCTTTCATGAAAAAAAAGAATTTGCAAATGTTTCTCTCTAGCTAGTGACTCGTCCACAACAGAGTTGTGACGTCATTTCATTCAAAGTTTTTTTTCAAACTTCAAGACTTACATATGTGCTGCATTAGAATTATCATTCTCATAATAAAAATTCTTCTGCATACAAAACAACTGATTGACATCAAGTAAGTTTGCACAATGAACAACCGGTAAAGAGCTCAATCTTGTCAGAGAAGAGAGGCTTGAATACCCTGTTGAAGCAAGAGTCAGCTGCTACAAGAGAAATGACTAATCTAGAGGCATGTTAAACCAGAGATTCTGTCAAGAGAAAACATCTTGGTGCTTCACAGCTTGAGTACCCTTCAGGGTTAAAGTTAGCAGATTCCATCAATCTGGAGCATTCCCTTAAAACTGCCAA